TTTCTCGCGACATGTCCGAAACGAGAGGCCGAGTTGGCGAAAGGGGATTTTTTCTGACAGACGGTAGGACGGTTTCTTGTAGATAAATTCGGAAAATGGAAGCGACTTGATTCTCGAGAGAAGGCACTCGTGACAATACGCGGATCTTTCTTTTGTTATTCTAAACACCTGATTACCATGCCACTTTTATAGAGCCGGTTGTGGATCAATAATGAAGCGATGATTGATTAAGGAAAAGACTATACGAGACGTTTGCGTTAATCTCGCGGTTCGAGACCGCGACATTCGAGACGAGCAGCAGATCTGTTGCTTATGCAGCGTGTGCATATTACAATGACGATGTGGCGTCGGACGTTTGCTAAAACAAGCGACCTGCACAATCGGTTGTTTTAGTGGAACGATATGACGTTGATGATACGTCAGAAACGTCCGTGTCTCGCGAGTATAAACGAAATCGCGCGAAGTAATCAACTTCGTCGTCGATTTGTTTCTTTCCGAGACGCGCGTCACGAACGAGTGATAAAAGAGCGCGATAAGAAGGAGACGAACGAAGGACAGTTCTCACGGGGGATTTACGTTGCGCGTTACGTCGTTACATTATTATCATTGTACGCACACTATGATCGCGCGGGTAACGCGCATGTCGGTGCGCCGCGTTACTCGCGCGAATCAAGCGACGTGGTCGCGCCGATCGAAAAGAAGAACGCAAGTCGCAATGATTTGCGCAATTCGCCGACACTTGACTCGACTTCTTCGGCCTGAAACGCTTACTCAGACTTCACCAGCGGGGGCACTGTTCTGTTCTCGCAACGGCCCGCGGCTCAATAAGATTCTCACGTGCGCGGATCTCGCGCGAAGATTACGATGCTTCTGCGAACGATACGTGACATTAACGAGAAGATTGCGATTCACCGCTCTTGTCTTTTCTTTTTTCAACTTTGTCTCTTGCGGTGTGGCGTCGTAACGACGAACGTAATGACGTTCGCGTTGAAGAGCAATCATTTTATCGATTTATTCTTAGGTTTTTAGCACGTCGACTGCCGACACAGTGTGCCGACACACTCCGGGGGACCGACGGTTAATATTGGCTAATTTAAAATGTAACTAATTGCGTGTAGCAAATTAAATATATATGGCAAGCAGGACGTCGATCAGACGAGCCAACGAATGTATCTGCCGTATAAAAGAGGTAAATGTCCCGGTAACCGGACGCGTTCAAGCTCGTTCAAGCGTCGTCACAAAAAATACAATACATAATATTAAGAATAGTATAATATTAATGTAAATACATTTTGATATAAATTTACATTTTTTTGAAAACTCAAGTAGAGAAAAATAATTCAAATCAAATTGGATATATTTTTTTTCCAATTAATCGTCAAATATTGCAGTTTTTTTTTACAATAATTATTACTTTCATTTATTATTATTAAGATAAATAGTAAATATTTGTTTTCAAAGTGGTCGGGGGATACTGGGATACGTTTATCTTATTTAGCGATTCCAATTCGAGTTGAGCATCGAAATATTTCAGCATGACAGGCAACGTGTTAACAACGTGGTCGGCAAACGCTGTTTTTCGTGGCGAAACAAACACGACCTCGCCGCGATAAACGATCGCAGGAAAATTTTGTAACCACAGGTGCGAAAATACATCCATCCATCCATCCATCCATCCATCCACTCAGTCTAATCGCTCCCGACATCTCGCCGCTCGTAATTCTTCTTTTCTTTCTGCGGTACGCAACACGCCGCCGCGCCGCCGCGGGTGCTTATTTCTTCATTAGCATCGTGATTATGCGCGCGCTTTCCAAAGTTTGTAATGGTGATGCGCACGCGAGCGATATCCTCCGAGTATTCTGGACTTGCGTACGGATACGCCCTTCGTGTATGAGCTCTATCTATACAACACGCAACTTTGCTCGCACACTCTTTGAGCTTCGTAGCAATTTGCGAGATATTAATCGGGAGAAATGGCAATCCACGCTGATCTTATCGGGATTGATTTGGGACCGACAGCTGAACGCAGCTCTCGTTTCACTTCGATCAGAATGAAGCATTTCAAACGATTTCTGCTCGTGCTTTGTAACAGAAGCGACGGAATACGAACGAAGAAAGAGACTCGATGTTCGTGGCTTTGCCGCCGTAAATAATTGCGTCGGTTTCGCCAAATTTGTGTGATTGCCGGTGCACGGGAGCGCGGTGAATTTGACGATGAATCACAATTGCTATTATTACTTGCAATCAAGCCGTCGTCGGATATACTCCCGCGACAAACAGTTCCAAGATAACGCGCGAATTCGCGCATCCCGGAATCCATTGTTACGAATTTAGGACACATAATCGCCCGATAAGGAGCGACAAGGAGCGATCATATCGCGCTTAATTACACGTCTTTTTATCGCGTATGCAAATACAAGCGACCTTGTGTGGATGTTCATTGTTGGGAGAATCGTGTTGAGAAGGAAGAGAAGCACACACACACACACACACACACTATTCAGCTATTCTCGTTAAAACTGGTTCTATCGAATCGATCTTCTCCTCGACCCGCGAACAGAACTTTAGCGCGACGTCGGGGTTATCCGACGGCACGTGAATGCAAATTTCCCTTGACTTGCCGACAAAACGAAGAAGAAGAGAGCCACCGCGCGTTAGAGAAGGTCAAGCGGCGCGTTTAACTGGGACATGAGTGCGACTGCGAACCGCGATCGTCTCGTCGTCGCGGCGGCCGTGTATATACATAATCTCGTCGGGAACTTACGAAACTCGATGGCAGATATGTAGCAGAATGAGCGATTGTCTCAGCGATTCCGCCTCCGTCGATGGATCGCGAATGACTCGTGAGCGCTTAATTAACACGCTGACAAGCATGCGTCAATCTCTCCACCGATCGCACAAGAATTCGACCAACTGCTATCGAATTGCTAAAATTGCAAAAGGAAAAAGAATGCACACACATCTCTCGATCGCCGGCCGTAGAGGCGCTCTTCCCGCGCGCTTAATTATTTTATCGCGCTTAATTATATATACGCTTGATGCGTAACTTAATGAGACGCGGTAGCATCATAGCGCCCGTCATTAATGGCCACCGCCGCGTTCGATCCGCGTTAATCATCGGTGTCTTCGGTTCTTTTTCCTCGTCCGCTCGGAGCAAACTTTCATCGAGCGTTCACATTCTCTCCCCCCCCCCCCCTCCCAAACGGACGGATCGATCTTTGCAGGCGCGATCTCTCGAGCATGTCCCGCGACTTTTCTAACGTTCATTATCCTTGGACCAAGTCCAAGCTCCGGCGAAACTGCACTCGGCGAAAGATAGAAAAACGAGCACGTTATCTCCGCCGGCCGGGCGGAAAAATCCGCGCTCCGGAATCGAAATGGGACATCGTCTCGTCGACGCGCCTTCTCGCCGCAATGAGAGCGCACGCGAACGTGTGGGTCGTGATTATTATTAGCCGTCGCCCGCCGCCAACTCAATGGTTAAGTCCGATGGAGAAAGATACGATCCATCTTCTGGCGATTCACATCGGCAGGAGAACCGGTTCGCGCGGGACGGGACCTTTTGTATGACTCGTGGCGAGCGTTATGCGCGCGCGAGGAAGTGAAAGCAACAGCAGCTCGCGGGACAATACGGCCATGGACTATCTGTCTCTACTGTCGCAATGTCGAACTCGATTGAGTGCCGGCGAATGATGAGGCGAAAAGAGTCGTTCTCACTTGCGTAAACCTTCGTCGAGCTGCGTCGAGATATGAGCGCGATCCTTCGCTCGTCGGCTATTCGTCGGTGTGCGTTCGTGTCGCGGCAGAGATAGTCGTTGTAATTTTGCCTATGTGAACCGGTTTCAGACCGTATTCGGGATACTCTCAAATTCATTCCTCGACTAGCTAGGGATAAAAAATCGCCGGTGATACTTATTCGCCAATCATTGTTATTGCTGTTGTTGCTCTTGTTATGAATGACTCATAGATTACTGAGCGGATTGTACCGTATACGCACACAGAGAGATTCGTCATCTGTCATTTATCCTCACAGCGGCTGATTTTGTGTATCAGCTGATTTCGTAATCAGCTGATTTCACTCCCTATGGGGGGACTGGCATCACTAGTATTTCTCTAGAAAAAAGAAACAGATTTTTCTGAAGGAATGCAAATTTCCGAGATTTCCATCTTTCAATACTATGGAAGCACGTTACATTCTCGACACACGTCATTTCGAGTCGTTACGAGTACGCGGTCCGCGATACATAGTCACTCATAGCGTTGCGTTACAGGACGTTAGCGGAGGATATGAAGTAACCGGCGATAATATTCATCCAGTACCGCGGGAATTATGTAATTGCACGCAGCGATCAAGCGATTTCCGCGATTCAATATCGTCTGGGGTGACTTTTTCTTCATAACTCACATAACGAGTGTTATCGATAAATGTCACGATTGAGTTAAATATTCGTGCGTTAAGGGATCGCCGTTAAGGAGTAGCTGTGGCAATTGACATTCGCAGAAATGTCAGCGGGTTGTCGCGAGTACAAGTCGCCTGACTTGTATAAAAATTAATAATTCATATCTGGAACGTGTCCCACGCGGCACCTGCCGCGGTAGCCGCCGGGTAATAGCACCGGTAGCTGCATGTTGAGAGACGAATATACTTCCTCATGTGGTCGGTTCCCAGATTCGCGAAGCACTCCGATGACCAACCACTTAACGATCAGACATACACGATAACTTGTACTTACGATAACGATTAATTTTAAATCAACCGGTTCTAGAGAGAGAAAGAGAGATGCTTGTCTTTCTCTCGTCTCGGGCATCTATTTCCCAAAATAATATTATTATTATATCGCGTTATATCCAGGTCTGGATTATCCGGCTGATTCTATTGTATAATAATTATTTTCGGATAGTTTGTGTATGTCGTATAATCTGAAAATTTGAAGTTTCTATTTTAATCCAGAATAATCCTCATCCTTTATTCAATCAATATTTTTCGAATTCTGTTCCAGAGGGTAAGGTCAAAGTGTCGAGAGACGGCAAATACTTGAGCACCTTGGCACCAGGCAAAGTGCTGGGCGAGCTCGCGATTCTTTACAATTGCAAAAGGACAGCGACCATCACCGCTGCAACCGATTGCCAGCTCTGGGCCATTGAACGGCCATGCTTTCAGACTATTATGATGAAGACTGGTCTCTCGAGGCAGGCGGAATATACTGATTTCTTGAAAAGGTAAACTCACCTGGATTTTAACAGCCTGTCGGAAGTATCGGATAGTAAAGTTTTACATATAATCTTATTATCTCAATCTATCGAGTTCAAGAATAACATAATATTCACGTTTTAGCGTACCGATTTTCAAGAACCTGCCCGAGGAAACTTTAATCAAAATCTCAGATGTTTTAGAAGAGGTGAGGTCACATTTCTGACGAGACACAGACTGTTTTAGTTATATCTTCATCATCGTAATTGTCATTCTCATGTTTATGTTCGCAGACATTCTACAACAATGGAGATTATATAGTAAGACAAGGGGCAAGGGGCGATACATTTTTTATTATCAGTAGAGGGCAGGTGCGTGTGACGATAAAGCAACCCGATACAACGGAAGAGAAGTACATCAGGACGCTGGGAAGAGGCGATTTCTTCGGCGAAAAAGCTTTACAAGGGTGGGCATTATTCATATATTATATGTAATATATATGCTTTTACTTTTATGTTGAAAATATTGAAATTATCTGAATAATGGGAATATTACAATTTCGACATCAACATATCTCGTTTTTCTCAGGGACGATCTCAGGACCGCCAACATCATCGCTGACGATCCGGAAGGAGTGAGTTGTTTAGTAATTGACCGCGAAACGTTTAATCAACTAATTTCATCCTTGGACGAAATCCGCACGCGGTACAAGGACGAACTGGTGGAGCGTAGGAGGTAAAATATCTCTTGTTAACTGTACAAATTCCATACGTGTTAGATAATCATTCTAGAATCAATAGCTACGTTACACTTATTACCGCAAATAAATATTGTGTTTCATGCTTATCGTTAGGATGGAAGAATAAACAATACATTCCGAGTAAGTTTAGTGATAAAGACGGATATGCGGATATATTTAATGGGACGTCTTCGATATGTAGACGTTATCCGATATGTAGATGTACAAAAAAAAACGAGAAAACTAAATTCATTTATGACTTACACATATGTGGGTGGTTCCCTCTGATTTTCGTGATAGGTGCATACAAATTAATTTGATTTTGATCAGAGATTAATATTGTTTTGCCGTTTTCTCAGACTGAACGAAGAATTCCGGGATCTACGGTTACAAGACCTTCGAGCACTTGCGACTCTCGGCGTGGGTGGTTTCGGAAGAGTCGAATTAGTTCAAATTATCGGAGATAACACGCGATCGTTTGCTCTCAAACAAATGAAGAAGGCGCAAATTGTCGAAACGCGACAGCAACAGCATATCATGTCGGAGAAGAGGATCATGGGCGAGGCAGACTGTGACTTCGTGGTGAAACTCTTCAAAACATTCAAGGACAGGAAATATCTCTACATGCTGATGGAAGCTTGTTTAGGTGGCGAGTTGTGGACTGTTCTTAGGGATAAGGGGCACTTTGACGACAGTACTACGCGATTTTACACGGCGTGCGTCGTCGAAGCCTTTGATTATCTGCACTCCAGGAACATTATCTACCGGGATCTGAAGCCGGAAAACTTACTTTTGGATAGTCAAGGGTAAGGATACATTATTATACAAAATACAAAATACAAGAAATTTCGACAGAGATGTATCTTGATCGTATATTATGTTTTAGATACGTGAAACTGGTAGATTTTGGTTTTGCGAAACGTTTGGATCACGGGCGGAAGACGTGGACTTTCTGCGGCACACCAGAATACGTGGCGCCGGAAGTGATTCTGAATAAAGGGCACGATATTAGTGCCGATTATTGGTCCCTTGGAGTTCTTATGTTTGAACTACTAACGGGTACACCTCCATTCACCGGTGCCGATCCTATGAAGACTTACAACATTATCTTGAAGGGAATCGATGTCATAGAATTTCCCAGATCCATCACACGTAATGCCATGGCGTTAATTAAAAAACTTTGCAGGTAAACGACGTCTTTTTATGTGTATAAGCATATATCAGTATAATCAGTATAATCGCGATAAATATCCACGCAAAGCGTACTTATACACATCTTTTCAGGGATAATCCAGCGGAACGTCTTGGATATCAAAAAGGTGGCATTAGTGAAATACAGAAACACAAGTAAGAACATTGGTGTTTCAATATTTAATGGTGGTGGATTTTTACAATGTTCGTATTTATTACAGGTGGTTCGACGGTTTCAATTGGGAAGGCTTGAGAACCAGAACTTTGGAACCACCGATATTACCGCGAGTTCAAAGCGCTACAGACACTGCAAACTTCGACGAGTATCCACCGGATTCCGATCCAGCGCCACCAGACGATATTTCCGGTTGGGACAACGATTTTTAACGGAACTAGTGGAGGATGTGTACATATATATATATGTATATATATATATATATATATATATGTATATATATATATATATATATATATATGTATATATATATATATATATATATATGTATGTATGTATGTATGTATGTATGTATATGTGCACACACGCACATACGTGCGCGTGCGTTCGCGATCACATTTTGACAGTAAAAAAGGGTTAAATTAACTATGGATATCACGGGGTTTTTCAGCTATACGAAACAATTGGCGACACCTGCATTTATTTATACTTTTCTCATATCACGTGATATATACAGATTACAGCCGCATTTGATCATATTCTTCACTCTTTGTGCACACTTCGCGGAACAATCGTGATGAGAACGAAGGGAATTGCACTGTGATAAAAATTTAGAACTTGTATCAGTTTGGAACGGCACAGATGTGTTAGTGAATGATTGATGAGAAAATTGATAAATCTCTAGAGAGGTAGGATTTCAATCTGACGCAATATCTTTCACTTTTTATGCCGCGTCAGACGCGTCTCAACAGTAAAGTATCTCTCCCTCCAGGTTACGCATCGTAATAGGATACTTATACGCAAGTGTCAAGTGCCATTATTACCTCGAAGAGGTAAACCCACATACGCGTCATACTTGTGCTCAGAAACGCGGTAATGCGTTAAGGAAACAGTCAGCTCAAGTCCAAGGGACCTCTTGCCATCGATACTGTTTGTAAACTTGTCAGAATGTGCATGTATAGTGCGGTCGTTCGATTCCTTACGGCAGGTTCATTGTTGTTTGATTCACTTTAGAGTTTATTGCAATAATTCTATTTTAATTAATTATACATATATGACATAATTGTAAATAATGAATTATAAATATCATTATGAATTATAAATACAAATTTTAAATGCGAAATGTACATCAATATTAAATAAATAAAGTTTTATTAATAGCAATTGAAGGTACGTAAATATGCAAGATCAGCCAAATCCACTTGTTTCTGTGACTTACTGAACGATTTTACTGAACGAATTAGAAGGGACAAAGAAATTATAATTATCTTATAACACACATACTCTCTACAAACTGTCATCATTCTCATCCTCATCGGAACAAGGTAGAAGAAACGATAAAATTTTTAATGTTTTGCGTATGTAATATTCTACACTCTCGTAATATTTAAAGATACATCTGGCTGTTTCTTGCAACTGAGTCTTTGATCGTATCGTATACATAATATATTTGTTGATCTCTTTGTGTTACACATAGTATACATTAATAATATTTATGATACGAAGTAATACTTATTATCAATAGTACGTATAATATTTCTAATTTTTATTCATTACACGATAGATAAAAATTATTGATAAATTTTATTGATCTCACGTGTGTATCGTCACACGTTATGAAAACGTTTGGCCAGCTGTAACGCCAGATGGCATTGCAATCACACGGTTGCTCGACACGGTTCTTTGAATTCGTAGTTCGCGCCTCGAGCACGAATAGTCGTGTGAAATCGTGTTCTTTGTTGGGTATATGTCTTGTGATATTAGGAGCGAGCAGATACGGGTGTGCACAAGAGAAGTCGAGGAATTTTGTATTCTCGGGTCGGGAGTATTGAGAAAATTCGTGGATAACAAATCCAAGTAAGTGGGCGTAACTTTTCTGCATCTTAATGGAAACATTTCATTCATTTGAAGCTCGTTAAACGTGTTTTTGCTAACCTGAGGTTAACGATCCACCATGTTCTATTGCTCAAAGTTTTTATCGCAAGGAACAGTCGTTCCTTTTTTCTGCTGAAAATGATTTTTGTAGGACACTTTTGTAGAACTCAATTTCAACAACTGCCGTAGCAACCGTATTTTATCGTCATTTTATTTTGTAATGTCAAGTCATTGTAATTTTATCGTAAAAGCCAAATAAAAGAAGCAAAACATGACATTTTATATCGCATTGATATCGCGTGATGTGCATACTTATTCGTATATATATTACATAATATACATACATATTACATACACATATATGTACGGATGTATATGTATATATATTATATATATATATATATATTCGTACATATATATCATACATAGTTATTTATTGTTAATTTACGTTCAACAGGTGAACTTCTCATTTATGTTCATTGCTGTGAATTTTGATAAAAATACTTTAAAGAATCTCAAATAAATATCCTTAAATGAATTGCCACTGACAAAGAAGTTTAAAATTGAAACAACATTTAAATAACATTATATGTTGCTAATAATATACTAATTTTCCAAATAAGTCTATATACTATGATCGTATATCTGTTTTTTGGTACTCTAGTTATTTAGTTTTTTGTCTGTAAATGTTTTAAATTAAAAAATAGAGCAACTACATTATGTGTGTGGTTAGATTAAATTAGATTATAGATAAATACAATAGATTATAGATAAATTAGCTAGGTACTACAGACTATGATAGGGTAGATTATAAAAAATATTTATTTTTTATCATTTATATGTACTTTCAATTTAAATAAATAATTACTATTTTTTCCATATGTAATAAGAGATTCAAAATGACCGACAAGAAGATTCCTATTGGCAAAGGCCGAGGTTCCACTTTGTTGGAAATGATGAGAAAAAGAGAAATACAGGAGAGAGAAAAACAAAAGGAACAAGAACGACTAGCACATTCAATAGAAACCCCAAGTCAGGAATCCTCGAGTCAGACAAGATCATTTGAAAGATATTCACAAAGCTCATTCGCAGAATCATCAGTTCACAGTATCGGCCGTGGCCGTGCTCAATTGTCAAGTCTAGTAAAGTCGCATAGCAGCGGTAATGAATCAGAACCCAAGGCTTCAGCAGCAATAAGCCATGGGGTAGCAAAACATGGATCATTAGGTCGAGGGTCTCTTATTAGTTTGCTGCAGCAACGTGCGTGAGTATAGACAATTTTGTTTGGATTACGATTATGAATGAATATTGACAATTGAATTTTTTTTCATTCCCAGTGAAGCAAGTTCCTCTAGTTCAAGCTCCACACAAGCGGGGCCATCTGTTCAACAAAGTAATAACAATGATGGAGTTTTAGGCATGTTGGCTGATCTTACGGTTTATGATAACCCGCCTGAATTAGCTGCAGCAGCAGATATTTCACCTGAATTAGCTGCGGCACCAGTATGCCGACAAGGCAAATGTGGAGAAAGGTAACACATTTAAATCTTTATGTACGTATATACCTATCTTTTGATCCACATGTAGAACAACTTCTTTCGCATTGAATTCGCATTGTTTTGCATAAATGATTACATCAGACATTGTGCATGTCGAGAAAGATGGGTATCTTTACTATTTTTAATTAGCAGCAGTGTGATAAAAATCGTTTCTTTTTAGAGTCAACGTATTCGCTAATTATATAGACTTGGAGATAGAACCTGGCAAGGGTTTATTCCAGTATGAAGTAAAATTCTCGCCGGATATAGATTCGAGAGTATTACGGCGCAAACTGTTGAATCAACACGCTGCTAAAATAGGGCAAACAAGAACATTCGACGGAATGATACTTTTCCTGCCAAACAAACTGCCAGAGAACGTAAGTTCGAAAAGCTCTGTGACAAAAACGTTTTGATCGATGCAAATTTGTCAAATTTTCAGATTATACACTGCCATTCTGAACACCCGGTAGACGGATCGCAAGTGGCTCTTACAATTATTTATAAGAAACAACAATCGATGAGTGAGAACGTCCAATTCTTCAACGTTCTGTTCGGACGTATTATGCGCGCGCTTAGTTTAGTTCGCATCGGCCGACAAAGTTTCAATCCCAAATGTTCACATGATATAAGCCAGCACCATTTGGAAGTATGGCCCGGTTACGTGACCGCTGTAAACGAATTCGAAGGTGGCTTAAAACTATGTTTGGATATCAAACATCGTGTTCTGCGCACGATAACGGTGCGAGACTTAATGTAAGAGACATTTTCATGCATTTTCTTTTTTTTTTGTTTTTAACGTTAAGTCGATGAAGTCGAAGAAGATACAATTGGATAGTTTATAATCGAGAGACAGTACACGGTACAATCGATTATGATTATCTTACAGGACTGATTTATACCAAAGACAACGGCATAATTATCAGGAGTATGTGGCGAGGGAGATAATTGGTACGAGTGTATTGACGCGATATAATAACAGAACATATCGCATCGACGATATCGCCTGGGATAAAACTCCGGAGTATAAGTTTTCTAAAAATGGAGAGGATATATCTTTGATGAATTATTATAAGATATTTTGCGGCATCGAGATACAAGACAATACGCAACCGCTTTTGGTTCACAGAGCTACGGAGAGGACAGCGAGCGGCGAGGTTTGTGGTATCAGTATTTTTCACACATTGAAATATGATCGTTCTTGAGTTTATAATTGTCAAAGAAATCGTTCGAATCCAATAGAGGCAGGAGAGGATATTACTTTTGATACCGGAACTGAGTTATGTCGCGGGTCTCACAGACAGCATCCGCTCCAATTACAAGATGATGAAAGATTTGGACGCGGTTACGAAAGTGTCGCCTAGTAGACGTCGCGACGAGATCAGATTATTTGTGAAGGAAATAAAAAAGAACGAAGTAACACGGGGAATGTTGTCAGGATGGGGTTTGCGTTTACGTGATGACATAGTTCAATTTAACGGAAGGTCTCTCCCGCCCGAGCAGATATATCTTGGAAATAATAAGACGATCACGCAAAATCCAAGCAAAATTGGTGATTGGACGACCTTTGTTACACGAAATCCTGTATTGCGTACGGTAAGTGCACTGAAGCAACAATCGCTTGAGAATCGAAAGAACCAGCGGGTAATGAGTGTTATTTTTTGGAAACATTTATCGCCATCTTGTGTTTCAGCCTCATTTAAATAAGTGGTATATCTTGTACGTTAGTAGAGATGAAGTTGTCGTAAAAGAGTTTCTAAAAATGGTACAGGGCATCTCGAGAGCTATCGGTATGCGAGTGAGCAAACCACACTCGTTCGCAGTAAGGGACGATAGGAGTGAAAGCTATCTGCAAGAAGTACGAAGGCACTTCAACAATGATTACGAATTGGCGGTCGTAGTATTCCCGACTAACCGTACCGATCGATATAGTTCATTAAAAAGGTTAATCGTTTTTTCTATCAATCTTAGTATACTCCTACGAATGTGCATACCATGCAACAGCATATTATCTAAACATTTGATGCTATTAATTGACAATTGGTAGAACGCCATAAAAAAATGTTTATGTTGAAATGTTTTGTTTCCGTTTTGTACAATCGCACTTTCTTTTTTCTTTTCTTATTTTGTTCTAATTTATATTCTTCTCTCGCATTTATGTAGGTTGTGCTGCGTAGAGAAACCTATAGCGTCGCAAGTAATTATCACAAAAACAATTGCCAATGCTGCGAAACTGAAAAGTGTCACAGAAAAAATCATGCTTCAGATCAATTGCAAATTGGGAGGAGCTCTTTGGACTGTGGCTTTACCACTGGTACATGGCGAATTTTTGCTTTTATGCTTTGTCATTTTTGTTTCTATACTTTCGTCTCTTTTTTCCCTTTGCTAAATTCTTGCTGTTGTTGTAACAGAAACGTTCTATGGTGTGTGGTATAGATGTATATCATAGTGGTGTAGGAAGTGGCTCAAAACAGAGCGTTGCAGGGTTTGTGGCGAGTTTAGACGTTCAATTGACCAAATGGCACAGTAAAGTCTGTATGCAGGCCTCCAAGCAGGAGTTGACAGATATGTTGCAAATGTGCCTTGTTTCGGCTGTCAATGCATACCGCAGGGTAATTTGTGCATTACACATTTTTCAAATGTAACATGAGTCGAGGGAGCTTTTTCTCTGTCAGCTCGTTAAAATTAATGATATTTCAGCACAATCAAGTTCTTCCGGAACGTATAATTATATATCGCGATGGAGTTGGCGACGGTGATTTGGATTATGTCGTGAGATATGAAGTAAGGCAGCTAATTGAAACATTCAATCGCATTGAACCAAATTATAAACCACAACTCAGCGTGATCGTTGTTCAAAAACGTATAAACACGAGATTGTTCATCGAAAGTGTGAGTAGACAGTGTGACAGAATTATCATGATGCGTTACGATGTGGTATGATTCGAATTTCTACGACTTGTGATTTTCAGAATGGAAACCTAGGAAATCCCGAGGTAGGGACAGTGATCGACTCCTGCATCACTAGGCGGAATTATTACGATTTTTTCCTCGTGCCGCAAAATGTACGACAAGGTTCAGTAACACCTATTCATTATATCGTTATCCATGACACCTCGAACATGGAAACTGATCATCTGCAACGACTCACATACAAGCTTTGCCACTTGTACTACAATTGGTCCGGTACAATACGCATACCTGCCCCCTGTCAGTACGCCCATAAGTTGGTGTACCTGGTTGGTCAAAATATCCAAGTAGAACCACATCATTCCCTTAATGATATCCTGTATTATCTATAACATTTCCATCTTCACTTAATACTGGATACCCTATATCTTCAGTTCACATTCGTTTCTTCTTTTCCTTCCTTCTGAGATCAAGCACGTATGATGATCCTCGTGCAATAGAAAATACGGGTAACAGGATATGATATACCGGTTACTTTATTTATACAATATACTATTAAAGATCGGTATTGATTCTCATAAGTGACAACGAATTCGAAGAAGCATGTATTGCGTCCAAAAATTGCTATCAAAGATATGCAAAAAATATTACAGCGGAAAATCATTACCAAGTATATTTGATAAACAATGCACTTGGGATATGTTTCCGCATGCGTCCTTATTTTTTTTTTCCCTTGTACGTAAATAATTATGTAAACCAACTCTTACGATTATGTAAGAATACGAAAAGAACAATATTTACGTATAACATTTGATAAAAATGATAGTGTAAGTTTGATATTCTCAAAGATAAATCTATCTCTTAATTATGTTTGTTACCGTATCCTGCAAAGTATAAATATATTTTTTTTTATCTGCAGGAAGAACAGGTGTGTGTGCGTGTGCGCGCGCGCGCGCGCGTGTGTGTATGTGTGAGTGAAAATAATAGAGGTAATAATATAATGCTTCCTATATTATAAGAGGCACATTATAAGAATTTTTTTATTTTTTCAATATTAAAAATCCTCGAGCTTGCTACTCAGGAACTAAATGTTTAAATAAGCAAAAATTAAAGAGAATTTTATTTTTAGGCTAAAGATTAAAAATTAAGAGATATTCCATGGTATTAAAGTATTATTTTATTATTATATTTCTTGATGTGATGTCAACGTTTCTGTTTTCTATCATCTAATACTTCATAAAAGATGAAGTTGTCTTCATATAAGCTTATATTAACTAAACTTCAATGAAGTTTTAACATTTGTTAGGACTAAATGTGCTGGTTCTAATCATCCTTATTTTTTATATATGATATATCGAGTTATGATGTATTAAATTGTCAAGATGATAATCAACAATCATTGTATATGTACACATATATTCAGACACTGCATTGGTTAGAAAGACTAGCGAGTTTTGGCCTAATAAATGTTACGTATCTTTATTGAAGCTTGGTCTATACATCACCAATGTTGCACACACTCAGTATTGTTGGTAGAATAATATTTTTTGTGAGATGAAGTTAAATGTTACAGGTATAACTTCAGTACGTTGTAACAAAATATCTTATTTCTTGACACAGACTGAACAAATGTGGATTCTATGTCTATGTGAATTCATAGAGACATGAGAGACGTGAATTCAGAATATAATATTTTTTTCATCTAAAACGTTTATTTCATACACAATTTGCACATATGTTTTATATCAACTTTGCATGACACGATCTACTGACGTGCAATATTTATCATAATTTACTCACTAACGATGCAAATCCTTTCCCATCCCCATATATTCTCTAAGTAATTCTGTATAAAATTTTCATATTAGTATTCTCTCCCTATATGAAATATTTTGTAAACATTCTTTATTTGTACGGACGTGAGTCATTTATTTTAAATGATACAAAGACAATAGAAAATATTCTACACCATATATGTCGATAGCGCATAAATGAGGAGGTGAAAGAGAGAACGCTCCTATATTAGATTATAATGGAGCGAGAGAGAGAGAGAGAGAGAGAGAGCGAATGAACGGATTCTTACGATGCGACATACAATGTCTGTCACAATGCGAAAGAAAAAGAATGCAAAACACCGTGTATATATTAATTAGGATCTTTCAGTAACTGTAACGTCGGCAGAGTAGCTCGCGTTGCGACGCCTTGTCGCGCGCTCGTGTGTGCGTCGCGCGTCCTTCGCGAAATCGGGTATGCCTATACGGGACTACACGCGACGACGACGCGTGTGTGGATGCACTAACACATCGCACCAGCTCCCCCCGGAACGCTACACCGATTGGGTTAACGTTAGTAAACACCGCGCGCTCGAGGCTGAGGCGTTGCAGTTCGCAGTCAACTACGCGCGAGTTCGCGCGCCGATAGTGCACGTATCGTCGAGAGGACGAGAACGAGCGACGTAGTGCGGAAAGAATCGCTCGATTCTCCTCGTCTGCGTATTTTTTTTTTCTCATAGTGCACGTTGGCTCCGTGTATCGGAAGGATCGCGCGATCGATCTTATTGGATGAAATGCGCGTCTCGCATGAATGGGACGCACGAACGAAACGCGTCATAACCTCCTGTCGCCTCGCAGAGGCGAGCTGCCGTCTACGATAACTACGACGGCAACAGCGAGGTTGACAGCGTTTTCTCAGAGAAGGTTCGTCCGTTTAGCGAATACGTGGTGCGCGGACTTTCCTAGAGGTCCCCGCGAGGTCCTTCCGCATTGCGGCGTCCGTTGACACGATAGTTACGCCACTGCACCGTACTAACCTCCGTGTATTTGTGTATACGTGGTTGTGTGTGTGTGTGTGTCGCGTCTGCACACATGTAAACACGTCGCAGCGCACGCACACACGATCGAAAAACGTGCGCGCGAACGCTCGCATCGACCGCTACGACTCCGTATTTACAATCGCCGCGTATCGCGTATATCGAGTCGTCGTCGTCGTCGCCACCATCATCATCATCATTATCATCATCATCATCATCGTCATCGTCATCGCCACCACCGCTGCCGCCACCATTCGCGCGCGCGCGCGCGCGCTCAGCGCCTGCGTACATCTTGTTTACAACTGCGGAGCTCACCGTACACATGACCTTTACAAGATAGACACGATCGTCTGTTCGGCTGTTGGCTAGGCGTGAACTCGCGCGCGGCCCGCGCGCGCGCGAGAGAGAGAGAGAGGGGCAGAAGGAGAGAAAGAGAGAGAAGTAAGTTCCGCGCGGATTGTGCGTTACGTCGTGGCGAGCGGTCGCCTTTTGCTGGAATACACGCGGCCGGCCACGTCTCCGGCGGTCGCGGCCACGAATTCACGCGCGTCGTCGAGTCGAGTTACATTCGTGTTGTTGCGTTGCGTCGCACTTCTGAGAGAGTGACGACGAGAACGACGTGATCAGTCACAGTCGGTCGGTTGCTCGATCACGATCACGGTCGAGTGAGTGACGCGTTGTTTGTCGCGCGTCGTCGAAAGGGGAACGCGTCCTGGGTAAGTGCGAAACGTGAGTTACCGCGCGCACGGGAAAAAGAGAGAGGAGAGAGAGAGAGACGCGAGCGCGGCAGGCGGGCGGGAGAGACTGTAGGAAGTCCGAATTTGTCACCTCGCCGGAGAACGAACGTCGGACGACCCGCAGCTGAGCGAATGTGTGTGTGTGTGTCATGTGCGAGTGAGCGAGCCTGCTTCGCGTGTTTCCCGCGTGTAACGGACACGACGAAGCCGCCCTACGTCGTGACACAGTAGTACGTCGTTAACTGTGTGCCGACGAGTGCCTGCCTGCCTGCCTGCCTTTCTTCCTTTCTTTCTTTCTTTCTTTCTTCCTTCCTTCCTTCCTTCCTTCCTTCCTTCCTTCCTTCCTCCCTCCCTCCCTCCCTCCCTCCCTCCCTCCCTCGCTCCTCTTTCCGCCTGTGCGATCAACAGGAAGCGGAAAAAGAGCGACGGAGAAGAACCGGAAGCGGGAGTAGGAGTTGGAGCAGCAGCAGCAGCAGCGGCGGCGGCGGCGGCGAGGAAACAGGAGGAGTGGAAGTCATTGGCGACGGAAGGAGCGGAGAGGGAAGGGACGAGGTGGAACCGCGCGCGCGGCGCGCGCTATCCTCGCATCGACCTGGAATGCCGACCGTCGCGATTGTTTTGACGTCGCCCGCCCCGTCGGCGGCTATTGCGCATGAAAAAAATCGCGCGTTGCCCTTGGCAGTAGCCTATTTACCAAGAAGAGCGCGGGACGGCCTACGACTACGCCGATAAGGGGGCGAATTTCGGCCAAGCAGCCGTCCACCTGCGAGTAGCAGCAACAGCAACAACAACAACGGCAGCTCACCGCCGTCCGCCACGCGTCTCCTCGACACATCGTAACACGTTTTCCACGAAAGTCCGGACGGGACGGGACAAGACGCGCGCGCGTTCGCTCGCTCGCGACCGAAGAGCAGAGGGAGAGAGAGAGAGATAGAGAGAACACGCCTTGCCGTGAACCTTCCCCCGCCTGCCTGCTTACCGCCGCCGCCGCCGTCGTCGTCGTCGTCGTCGTCGTCGTCGTCGTCGTCGTCGTCGTCGTCCCTCTCACTCCCTCCCGCCCTCCCGCCGTTCGCGCGCTAGTCCGCTCGCGTGTGTGTTGCGCTCTCCGTCTGTTTGCTTGGCCGTCCATCCGTTCGCGTTTGTCCGTCTGCCCGTCTCTGTCGCTCTATGTGTGCGTGTGCACTCGTTCGCTCGCGCATACCGGTGTGTATACACGTCAACCGTCGTGGACCACGCAGTAAATCGTGTTATTCGGAGCGATAAACAGGTGCACCGCACCACACGGTGCCGCTCATCGAATCGTTCGTTTCTTCGCACGCACGGGCGACCGCACTTCGTGGTAGCCGCTCCTGCACCTCTCGACGACTGTCATCGTCATTGGAAATCGTACGGATTATTCGCGCGCGCGCGACGTACCTCGTCCGAGCCGTTGGAGCCTCGGGGAAGTATTGTTGCGTGCGAACGTTCCGCGAACGGTTTCCTCGGCGATATGTACCGAGATCGGTGGCGGGCGAAATTAGACGAAACCGCGTGACAGGTGGATTCGAGGCGTGCCGAGACATCGAGGGAAAGAGACGACGGATAAGGGAGAGACACAGAGAGAGAGAGAGAGAGAGCGCGCGAGGCGGCCAGAGGGAGGGAGCGAAACGAGAGTGAGAGAGTGCCGTCGCGACATCTCGGAGACGTCGGGCGCGTTCGGCGTGATCGCGGGATCTCCTCCGACTGGTTTCGACGCCGTGGACGAAGAGAGAAGCGGGAGTGACCGAGAGTGTGTTGTGCTGTCGTAGCGGTAGTATACACGTCGTCGACGTCTACCTCTACCTCCGTGGCATCGTCATCGTCATCCTCGTATTTGTCGTCTTTGTCGTTGCTGTCTCGTGGTCGCGGCGCGGTGACGCGACCTCGGTCGTGGCGGTAGCTGCTGCTGCGTGTTATTGTTGTCGTTCCTTCCTAACCTACCTACAACGAGAGGTGGACGGCCGCGTGTCGCGCACAACCGCCGACTGCACGCCGAAGAAGGGAAGGAAGAGGCGGCGCAGCACGCCCTCGACGGATCGCGTACGTACACGCCTGCTTGCTTGAGTACAGGCTCTCTCTCTTTCTCTCTCTCCCTCCCTTCTCTCTCTCTCTCTCTCTCTCTCTCTCTCTATGTGTGTGTGTGTGTGTGTGTATATATGGCGGGTGCACATGCACCGATGCTGCTCTTCTGTTTGTGCGCGCCGCGTCGTAACTTATTTACGTTGTAGCCGAAACGCGCTCTCGTTCGCGGACGTGGTGTCGCGCTTACGAAGGCCGTTCCGGGTGTATCGTCCCCGTCGTGATTGTCAATGTGTTGTGCGGGGTGGCAGAGTGCGCGACAAGAAGAGCAGTGTCGGCGACGTCATACGCGACAAGGACGGCAACAACAACATCGTCGCGGAACAACGCGACTTGGCTTGGCTGCGGCTCAGTGGTGGCGACAGCAACGACGACGACGATGACGATGACGATGATAATGATGACAAGGACGACGATGTCGTCGTCGTTGCATGTTCGCGCGCTTGAACGTGGTGCGCTGAGACGTTGACGGCCGTTGTTGTTGTTGTTAGTACTTTAATATTATTATCATTGTTATGCCTGTGAAAGTGCACGAAACGTGTTGTCCCGCAGCGATCGAGTGTGCCGCGATCGTTATCGTCGGCGAGCAGCGGTGAACGTGAGAAAGAGAGAAGATAGCTGGAAGGAGAGGGAAGGACAGACGGATCCTATTCGAACGAGCCCGAGAGCGCGCGGGGAATCCCGTCGCTTCCGACGTGATGAATTTCCGCGCTGCTGTTGTGCGTCGCGCGGTCACTCGTTGAGGACAACGACGCACGTGTGACGACGACGAAGGCTACGTGTGCTTCTTGCGAGTGAGAGAGGGGGATAGAGAGAGAGAGAGAGAGAGAGAGAGAGAGAGAGGGAAGGAGAAGAGGGAGAGAAAAAGGACGACAGTTTCTTCGTATCCGTTCGCATGCACGAGGAGAAAGAACGTGGAGGAGGAAGACGGTGGGCTGTAAGGGCAGAGGTATCATGTGAGTGATACCAGCACGAGAAACCCGAGCACCACGTCGTGTACGCGCGCTGCCCCCGAGGAGCAGAGTCTTGGACCGGTGAGAAGCGCTGTAGCTGGCCACCACGCCGCTCTTCGTCGTGCTGACGATGGCATCGTCGAGCAGGGGCCCGGCGTCGCCCTTGGGCGGGCCCATCATCCGCTGCGGCCACCTGAAGAAGATGAAGACGCTGAAGAAGAAGTACTTCGTGTTGCGCGGCGAGGCGCCCGGCTGCCTCGCCTGCCTCGAGTACTACGACAGCAAGAAGAAGTTCGAGAACCGGCACCCGCCTAAGCGCAGTATCCTGCTGCACAGCTGCTTCAACATCAACAAGCGCGGCGACACCAAGCACAAGCATGTGATCGCGCTCTACACGAAGGACGAGTGCTTCTGCCTGATCCTCGACAACGAGAAGGAGCTGGACGAGTGGCTGCAGGCCATGCTGAGGCTGCAGAGCGGCGACGTGCCCGACGGGGAACAACCGCGGCCTACATTTGGTGAGTGCTGCTCCGTCAGAGAATCACTCGCTCTCGCGCCCCCGCGTGTTTTCCAATTCCTGCCTTCGTTTGCGATACGAATCAACCGACGTGTGTGAACGTCGTCGCCGTTCACGACGACGAAGTTGATTCTCCGAGCGGCCTTCGCGCACCGATCGGTTGCTGCTGGTACTCCCGCTCCCCGGTGTCTTTGTAGCTTGTACTTCCTGCTGCCGATATCCTGTGAGACGGAGGATGATTCTTGGACGCCCACGCCGTTCGCGACCGATATGGAGCACGAAAGAATGTTTGGAGAGGAGAAATAGACGATAGAGGAGACGCGTGCCTCACCAGAAAACTGATTGCGAAGCACCGTAACCGGCTCCAGCCGAGTTTCTTCCACGCGCAGTGCGGCGGAAATGGTTCGGCTGGCGCGAGCCGTCACCGAGCTGCATCTCGCAAGAGGAGAATGATCGCGTCTCGCGACAAACACGGGCTCGATCGTCAGGTTCGGTGAACGACGTCATTCACTACGTCCTCATGGAGCTTAGCCCTTGGCGGTGACGCCACCCGATGGTCCTCCCTTGTTTACGGCGAAATACCGGTCTGCTCATTTTGCTCGTGGTGTTCCTCTGAACACGCTAACGTCGCCTGTCTAATGATCGACCCCTTGTTTATCGCGACACGTGGCCGTCTTTCGCATTCCTCTTTCCCGCGATTTCTTCATCTTTGGACTGCCTCCGATAGCCGCGCGTGTACATTTGTTTACGTCCAACAGAATGAATCGACGAATTTGGACGATCCATCCATCGTCTTTTGCGCTAGACTTTATTTTCCGCTCTTCTTCTTTCCTTCCCGTTGACGCGGATTTGTTGAAATCGGTACTTGTAGCAGGGGCATCCCTGTTTCGTTTTTTTGTTTTTATCATGTATGTGCGCACGTGCACGCTCCATCGAAATAATTTTGTACGAGTGTATCTTGAGATATGTTTGCAAGGATAGCAGATATTTAAATATAGAGACGACAAAGCGATAAAGCAACGTCTTACCGTCGTGTGTATTTTGTGACTTTTACATATTGAACAAATTGTGTGCAGCCTTGGCATAAAAATAACGTTGGCAATGGTTTGTGCACTTGTGCCGTTAGCAGGAATAAAGAAAACAATGGTGACACAATGATTAAGCACAAGGAGAGGTGCCGTTGTTTCAGGTTACAGTTAAACTTATACGGGGATTGCGTGCATTTCCAAATCTCGTTTATTACAATGAATTTAAATAATGCACTTATGGATGCAAAGCCGAGTGCGTCGTGGTAATATCGAGCGTTTGCATCGCGGATGAGGGAATATGCGCGATATGTTCTAGTTTGTCAACTGCATTCCTCTATTTTACGCGCTCTATTTCAGAACACGTATGGCAAGTCACAATGCAAAGGAAAGGTCTAGGGGCGCGAAAGAACATCCAGGGACCCTACAGATTATGCCTCACCGATCAAACTTTAAGTTTAGTGAAGATTGGGGAACAGGATAACTCGGACTCTATCGAGATCTTCGTAAGTTTACCTCAAATCGTTGAAAGAGTCTGTATGCAAGTCAAGATTATTATAATTTCGCATATAACTCGACTTGCTTGATGGTGTGTGAACTATACATTAATTTCTGGAGCTTTTTTAATCCGTTGTTGTGAACCGAATGTCATGGCAAAAGTCGACATTTGGTATGCACGGATATTGAAATCAATTGTATTGTATGTACTTTCAGCTGCATTTCGTTAGACGTTGTGGATTCGCGAACGACATATTCTACATTGAAGTCGGTCGATCCGCCGTGACTGGGGATGGTGAGTTCTGGATGGCGGTCGAAGACAACAATATCGCGCTCAATATGTATGACGTGATAACGACCGCGATGAGAAATTCGAAGAGCAACAAGGATGAGGTGGGCCCTCGTCAAAGGATGCGTAGTTCCTCGGCTAATGAAGCCAGCAGGCCGATATCCGTTCTTCAACGACGGCATACGGGCCAAAGGCTTCATGGCTTTTCGCCTCTGGGTAAGCGGAAAAATCTGCGGGTTATCACTTTCTCTTTTTTCTTTTTTTTTTTTCTTTTTATGTACCATTTACCCGAGGTAGGATGTGAGTTATGGGTCATTATCCGAGTGTCACGTACTGTCCATTTCTCGAAATGTGGTTTTCACGTGTGCAACTGGATTCGCATTAGCAACTTGCTACGTGTTTATAGTCGGCGCTACATTCACCGAGGCGTCAGTGCGTTTCGTTTTGTTCGTCGTGCAAGCGTTACCTGTGATATTTATAAAGTCGTCCTTTGTAACGAATTCCTTTTTACGTCGGGAAACTCGTGAGCATTGCCCGGAGAGACAGTCTCATTCCTCTTTACACCGAGACCATAACTGCACACACATTAAGTTTGTACATGTATATCTTTGAGAGTATAGCAGACCTGAACCATCGTGTACGCGTACACATGAGAACTCTTAGAGTAACACAAGTGGGTTTACGGGGTTTACAGAGGAACAGAAGACACACAAGGAGCAAGTGGAACCGTTGCAGGAGCAGATTGCTACTTCCTGTGCTCCTACACAGTGTAGTCAATCTCGGAGTACCACCTCCACCAATACAGTCACGGGTCTGTTCTCTGTCATAGTAGCTATCTGCTTTCCTCTTTTCGCGTTTCATAGCGATTTCGATTGGCAAGAAGAACATTACAAAGAGCAGTGCGAACGTATCGTTTTTATTCTCTCTTTGACTTTTTTGTTTCACGAGCCGTAGGACGTTGTATCCGGAATACTTGATCATTGCATTTTTCTATTGCACGGATTTCTGGGAGATTCGATTTTTCCTAGTTGTATCGTTCTATACATTGAGTGTAATGTTAACATTGTGTTGCTTTTTTCTCGCGCATAGTCGGTATATATATATATATATATATGTATCACAGTTGTCAAGGATAGAGATCGAAGGAGAGAAAGCAGCATATTGTATATTTTACTTGTTTTTCTTCCTTTTTTTCGTTCTTTTTCTTTTTCTTTCTTTTTTTTTATTTTTTTTGCATATCCCGTAAGTTTTTGTTACGTTGGATGAATGTTGGTAGCACAGAGAGACCCAAGGTCTGTACAAGTGCAATGATCAACTTTGACTGAAAGAGAAGTTTGGCCCGACATACATGAAGTGATTGTGCATCGTTTCCTGACTGTTAGCTTCGTGGTGTAAATAGCATGATTAATACCGATCCAGTCAGTAAGTCGTATGTCTGGAGTCTGTAAGTTGTCCGATATCAGATATATACATACGTAATGTACATATATACGTGTAGCATTTTGCTCTCAAACATACAAAATAGGGAAGGATCAAGTTGGAAAGCTTCATTGTCATTTCAATTCATTGTATCATCGCAATTCCTTTGTGTTATATACTACAATTAACCGACACGGCGGGACACCGGGTCATTCGTGAGAGAAAACTGTGTTACAACTGTGTTATCCGATTTTATTTCTCTTTATTTTCTATTTATTTTCCAAAAATAGTATCCATTCCTTCTTCTGATCAGTAACCCATACATGAAACATCAGAGACACTCGCGAGCGGTTATACAAGGTTCATTATCTGTGCTGTATCTGTCGAAATTCAGCGCGCGTAAGATGCACGTAAAAGAAAAAAAGAAAACAGTTGTGCGATAGTGAGAGGTGTGTGGTTTGCAGCCGTTGCTGGTACCGGGGCTTGGACTGCTGGGATTGCCACGACTAATGCCAACTGTGCCGGTACCGCTAGACGTCGTCATTCGGTAGCCAGTCATCCTCATTCCGTCAATAATTCCCAATCCGTTCATGTCACAACAGCAACAAATACAAATACATCCATGAACACCACCGCCGCCGCCACCACCACCACCACCACCACCACCACCACCACTATCACCACCGCCACTATCACCACTACCACTACTACCATCACCATCACTGCAACCGTCACCGCGACCACTACAACCACAACCGCGACAATATCCCATCAGAGAACCCTGTCGCTGCCCTTAGCTGCCGTTATTATCAATCAAACGCAATCATCTAAAAGATCAGTTTTACGGTGTATGTATTTTGTTCCGTCATATCTATTTATATATATATATATATACATATATATATATATATATACACACACACATACATATATTTGTTTAATCGAGCCGAATTTCTGTTTTACTCTTCAGTGTTTCTGCAGTTTCGCTTTGTCACTACACCTTTTCCGTTTCGCATATATGATCCTACTTTTTTTTTCTTCCCCTGATAACCGTTCGGTGTGCGAGGTGCCAATCGATCAGTGTTATGTTTATTTGCTCGATCACGACTGTAAAATTTCGCTCTGGCATGCTGTTCTTCAGTGCATGTGATATTATTATTATTATTATTACTACTACTACTACTACTACTACTACTACTACTACTACTACTACTACTACTACTACGAGACGAACGCTGCTTCGGTTTATATATTTCGTTTCTGTTCTGTTCAGTATGTAAAATATGTTTCTTGGATGCTGCGTATCTCTTTGAATGGTTTGATAATAATCTCTGACAAAAAGTTGGTTTTTACGATTCCCGCTTGTCTTATTAGTTACATAATAACCCGAGCTCCGCGAGCGAACACGCACGCGGGGAACTCGCGGCTCGAGCGACGCCGCACGATTTACCGTCTCTCTGTTCGTTTTGCTTGACTCAAGATTGTATACATATGTTATCTTTAACAGTAAGCAATCTACCGAGAAAGAAAGAGAGAGAGGGGGAGAGAGAGAGAAAGAGAGAGAGAGAGAGAGAGAGAGAGAGAAAGAAAGAAGGTAGATCGATACGTAATATGTAATATACGCGACACTATACAAACTAACCAACGCGCTGCTGCTATGCTGGGAGGATGGAACTGGCTTTTTTATACTGTTAACGCGTTGAGAGCGAGAGAGTCACGTCACATGGCAAGATCTCTAACAAGTATGTTTTTGCAGGTACGACTGGGCGCGATCGGTGTGACAGTTTGCCGTCGAGGGCTCGCACCACCAGCGAGGGTCAGCCGACCGCGGTAGTGTTGAGCCATCCCAGAGGAACCCATATCATGTCCCACGTGCCACGACCGCACTCCATGTGCGGGCGCGGCCTTTCGTACTCGCCGCCGATCGCGTCGATGCCCATCAGCCCGGCATCCGACGTGTGTTCGTCGGACTCGGCCGGCTCGTCACCTTCGATGGACGATTGCGGCGAGAACATGTCCGAAGAAGGCACCGTTTCGCGATACGGGCACTCCTTGACGCCGGACGAGCAGCCGGTGATCTTGGACAAGAAGGGTGAGGATTACGCTCCCTGGTCTACGTCGCATCCGCACCTCAAATACTCGCCAAACTTCAAGTCTCATTCGCCCTCTCAGGTGAGCATTCACGTCAACTCACGTTTATGTTTCTGGCTGTTGAAATAAATAAAGACGGGTGGTTTTTTTTTCGTTTTCTTTTTTTACACCTTCCATCGTCTTGTTTACTCGAGGAACGTTGGTCTACTTTCTGTGTTAATCCTTACGGTTCCGTGTTCACAGAGTTCCTACGGTGAAATGTACAGTCCCTGCGGCTCGAGTCCAGGCCGCGGTGGCGCGTACATACCCATGAGCCCCGCGACGACGGTGCACTCGCATTCCCGCGCGTCGTCCCTCGTGGAGGAGAGCAACGCGTTGCCGGACGGTTACGTGCCGATGGCGCCGGTGGGAGACGACGGCTACGTTGACATGGACCCTGTAAATAGTCACAACGGTCACTTCCCGGACGACATGTCGCAGCACGATGGCAGCAGCTGTTCCGTCACCTCCGGCACGCCCAGCACCGACCTGCGCTTCTCCGAGTACCATTTGGACAAGGTGACCAGCTTCTTAGCTCCCGGTGAGGATCTACAAGCCAGACCGACCAGAGCTTACTCGGTCGGATCTAGACCGGAGCCTGCGAACAGGCATCGTAAAAATAGGTACGTCCTGATGAACGTGTGACAGAGTTCCTGCGCATGTATATGTGTATGTATTGCTCGAGCGCGATTGCAGTCCTTCGCTAAGGATTGATCTAACACGACAACTTATACTCGTCACGCAGGTTGGACATCACCCCGCAAGATTCCAGTAGAGTGCGAGCGTTTTCCGTAGGCAGCCGGTCCAAGAGGCCCGAGATTGGAAGGCTGGCCAATGTGGTCACCGCCCCGTTACCAGCCGGCTCCGACGGCTCGAATTCGAACAAGTCGAGCTCGGCGCCGTTACTGTCGAGCTCGTGGGGTCACAATTCTGGTTGCTCCGGTGCGTCCGATCGTATGGAGGATCTCATGGAGTTGGACTTTACGAAGCCCAATGTTCCTACCGCTCTCTCCTCGCCACCGTCATCTTATCCTCAGCCTCAGTCGCAGCCGCAATCGTACTCTACTGCCACTACCGACACTAGTTCCTATGTTGACATGTCGCCAGGACAACCCCCCGTATCGACCACTGCCCCATACGTCGATATGAGTGGCATGAATAAGGTATTAACGATGATACCTCGACACTTGCTTTATTTTTATTCATCAAGTTTCCGCGGTGAGAGAGAGAGAGAGAGATCGTCCAATCGACCGATGTGGAAGAAGAAGCTAATAAATATGCATCTATTTTTGCAGATCAATCGCAATAACAATAACAATACAATCACTGCCAACCACAATCATAGCCACATGCATATATCATCGTTAGCTTTCGTCCATAAACCTGTAATTACGACTTTAAAGCCGGTAGAGGAAGCGGAGGGACCTTACATGAGGATGGACGGTACCGCGGAGGATTGGTCGCATTCGGAAGTGAGCCCGAAGCAGGTGTCGTCACCTATGCAGGAGGACATCTATCAGACGAATGGACCACCAGGTGAGTGGCCCTGACATTTGACGTTCCAATCGATTAAAATATTTTTGAGGCATTCGATTTCAGACCCCCCGAACGGATGGATCAATAATTGCGACAACATGATGGTGCGCTTTTCAGGTAGTACAAGAACGGCACCGGTAGATTTGCCGCAACCGAGGCGTCCACCGGAGGGCTACGTCGAGATGTCGTTCAAGGCACGTCCAAGTCTGGACCAGGACTACATGAACATGAGCATAGGCGCGAACAACCGGAACAACCGCAAGACAACGCGGATGGGCAGTCGCAAGGAAAAGTCGTCGCGGTCGCAACCTATCGCGATCCAGGCGGGTAGTAAGCCGTCAAAGACCCCAAGCTTTTTGCCACTGAACGGCAGCCCAACGTCCGAGAGCCTGGCAAGCACACCTGCCTCGCCACCGCGAGCGACACCCACGGGCTCTTCCGCCACGATCTTCCCCTTTTCATTGAACAGTCCACAGTCGCCGGTGAAGCCGTTCACGGAACAGAAGAAGAACGAGGACTTCTCCGCGACGACGGACGACGTCTCGTCGAACAACGATTACGCGATAATGGAACCCGTGAAGAAGCTCGTCTGTATGCCGTGTCCCGTGACGTCGATGACGACGGACACTACGCACGAGCTCACGTCGCGCACAAATCACGAGAAACCACCTAGTAGTCCCATAGGCAAGATCGTCGCACGGATTATAACGAACTCGCAGCTGCCGCAGGAACATCAGCATCACGCGATAGGCCCATTGACGAAGAGACTCTCGGATCTGACAGTGCCGAAACCGCGTCTCGTCACGGCCTCGCCGAACACCAGCCCCACTTTGACGGGTTTCAAACCGTCGTCCATTGTGCAGAATCAGCCGGTGCTGCTGCTGAAGGCACCTTCGCCCAAGTTCATCGACGAGACGCCCACGCCCACGCCGACACCCACGCCCACACCGAGTCCATTGAACAGCGAAGGCTACGACAAGCTGCAACCGGGCGCGACGATTCTGCACTACGCTAGTCTCGATCTACCGGAGGTTAGTAATCCTGCGCCCGTGTCGCCGGTGTCCACGCAGGAGGGCCTGACCTATGCCGAGATAGACTTCGCCAAGCTCAGGCAGAACTAACGTAATGCGTTGTTGTCCCGGTGTAGACGCTCATCGGCGCAACGGCGACGACGACGACTATGACGACGACGACTACGACGACGACAACGCGATATGGGCTGACGCCTCTTGTGTTCCCTACGATAGCAACGAGTAGGCACAGGGTATATAATATCGATCGTTCTGACATTGGCTCGGCTGGTCTAAACGAGAATAGGACGCCGGGTAGGAATATATTGTGTATATATTATATAAAAATTCGTTTCTTCGCTCCACAAGTCTGACGGCACTCGCCACTTGCCGTTCGCCGATCTTCCTAGCGTGACGGTCTTGGCGGTCTATTTTAAATCGTTTGAGGAAGAGAAGGTGGGAGAAAAGAAAAGAACAAGCGTCGTTAGTACCTATAGTTCTGGTTGTACTGCATTAATATTGTATTTTATCGGAATGATGTGAAATTCTTTTTAGCGTAGACGCGAAATATGTATATTTATTTCCGCGGCTAATTCCGTGGGTAGCCCGCAAAATCTGTTTGTATGTGCGTGTGCGTGTGTGTGTGTGTGTGTGTGTGTGTGTGTGTACACCGCTTTTATAACGTTGAAACGGCCGATATAAAAGAGAGAGAAAAGAAGAAAAAGAAGATGAATTCAGCAGGTCACTGAATCGCGAGAGGGAAGATGTTATATTTTATTCAGTTAAATAATATAAACGTCTTAAATTCTAGTTTCTGTTAGCAGATTCGCTCGTTGTCTCGTAAAATTTATCCTATTTTGTATTATATATTTTAGATGCTGACAAGCCAAAAAGAAAATAAAAAAAAAAAGAATAAGTCAATTTTTCTGAAAGATATATATGTAATATGTGTATATCGAGTTTATATTTATAATATAATTCTTAATGGTATATGACTATACGGAATTTATTTATGTTAATTGTTTAGGAGAGCTGCGCTCTAGATAACGTAAATTTCTATATCGACCTTTTTCATACGTGTACAAATTTTAACGACGCATTTTCTTTTTCTTTTTTATTTACGCATTCTGAATTCAATCGAGCTGGCTTCGTTGAAACTCGCGTGATCATTGTTCTTCGTACGAGGTACAGCATGTTACGGCTGCATGTTCGTTTTGGCCTTCTAACGTTCTATGCTAGTCAAAATTGTCGAGTTTGAATTTGGGGGAAGCCTTCAATTTATTCTTAAACAACAGCCACTGTGTACGTGCGAACTCTTGCGTCTGATATGTGAGATATCGGTTTGTATTTTGCACGTGTTGTCGTCATCCCAAATTCGCGGACCTTTTGATGAAGTACGCGGATCTAACGAGAGTTACGAATAATGAGATCTGTACGAAGTTTCGAAACGAACGGAAAAGCACGATGTGAAATTGTGAATTTGCATTTCTTCGATAAAATCGACAAAATAATTTCTCGAACCTGTATTTGTACGCAGGCACGCGCACCGACGACGCGGTACTTCTCCGTCGTCGGTTCTCTTCGAAAAGGATAAGAAGAGAAGAAAATAAAAATTTTTCATGACGCCAGCACTGCTTTTAGACGTTGCGACTAAAACTCGTTGGATAATCGATACTATAGTTCGAATCAAGTTTTGACCGAGAAATTGAGATGTATCGTGAAAAAAAAACGCTTTAAGATTATCGCACAGAGAAAAGAATGAATCAGAATGGTGGTGTGTGTATGAATGTATGTTGTGTGTGTGTGTGTGTGTGTGTGTGTGTGTGTGTGTGTGTGTGTGTGTGTGTGCGCGTGTGCGTGCGTGTGCGTGTGTTAACAGTACATTACCAGAAACATAAGTACTGAAAGAGAGTGAGAGAAACGCGAACCGAGTTGTATCCTCGTTGACGATGAGATCGATGAGGTCGGATGAAATTCTGCAGATAGCGCGGACGGACGGAAAGAAAAGCGTTCGCACAGCGCGGAGACAACCATTTGTGCTGCTCTCGGCTCTTCCCGCCTCCTCGGAGTTTGATTCGACTGTTTCCTCGCGAGGGAATGTTACCCGCCAATGTTAGATCGACATCTCTTAGAATTCGTATTGCAGACAAGATAGATGTTCCGTACAAGTGCAGTATACATGTGTTATCACGCTTTTCGTATAAATCATGAACGGAGTCGAGTTAGTCTCGCTGGGGATTAACTCGACCGTGTACACAACGTACACAGGCAACACACATACACGTGCGTATATGCAATATATTCGTCCTGCAGGATATTCTGTGAAAGACGTTACAACCGACGATGTATCGCGAGCGAGCGAGTGAATGATAGAGAGGGAGTTAGGAGGGGAAGATGGGACGATTCGGAAGATGTAATGAGAAGAATAAAATTGCACAAAGATGGAAGGAATCAAGAGAAAATAGAAAAAAGGGAAAAGAAATATATTGGCGACTGAATCTTTATGTCGGTAGTCCATGTTACCTTGTTTCAGCTCTAGCATACATATTCTTTGTGCATGTATTTTATTTAAGTATAATTGCGGCGGTTGTATCGATAATGAACAGGATGTCTTGTGTATACATACGTATGTCTCACGAATTTCCGCGTGGATGTGCGTGCGTGCGTGTGTACGACATGTGTGTCTCTCGTTGCATGATGCGTGCTTGTCATGTGTGTGTACGGTGCGGACAAGCGTGTGTATATACATATATGTGCACACATACACAAATACATACATATATATGTTATAAATATTAAGTATGAAATAATCATTAATAAACTCACAATATAACTGAAATTGTTCTTTTATCAATCAAAAATTTCCAACCGTAAATTTTTAAGTTCCTCACTGAAGTGTCTGCAAACCTCTTTGCTTGTTATTCACTATTCACTTGATATTAAAATCAAGAAATTGAACGAAATTGGCGAATTTTTAAATTTCTCGCTGGAAATTCATGTTACCTCCTTGCCCATTATTATATGCTCCTGATAAGAAAATCGAGAAACCGAATAAAGTTTGCGAATCTTTAAGTTTCCACCTGAAATTCATAATACCTCCACGCCGATTATATTCTCCTAATACTAAAACTGGAAAATGCAGAAATTCAGGAAAACTTGTAAAATTTCTAAATTTTCCGCCGAACATTCGTGCTACCTCTTCGTTCGTTATATTCTACTGTAGCGGGATTCTGTTAGCGTTTGTATACCATAGAAAAGCTGCGTAACGATAACGAAACTGTCGTTAACTCCAATAATGAGTTAGAGAATTCCAGCACTGCTATTAAAAATTTCGGCAACCATGTGCTCGGCGACCACATGCTTCGGCGACCATGTGCTTTGGCGACCACGTGCTCGGCAACCACGTGCTCAGCAACCACGTGCTTCGGTTGATACGAAAATTTACCCAGGGCTGTCAATCTTTATATCAGGTGTAGTAAAAAGAAATCCATTATTTTTGCATGAAATTGAAAGCTTTAATTATCATAGTTAGAATGATCCGATTTAGGTCAAATATGCGCCGTTTTGTTCGATAACTTGTTGCTATTTTGAAGGTAATTTCATTATGCCTCTCTCATAGAAGCCCTCGTCCCTATTGGCAAAAAATTGAGACAGTCGATTTTCACAAGCCTCTCTTGAAGCGAATTTTTCACCAGCAAAATTGTTCGCCATGGACAGGAACAGATGGTAATCACTTGGTGCCAGGTCCGGACTATAAGGTGGATGCATAAGAACCTCCCAACCAAGCTCCCGGAGCTTCTGGCGAGTCACTATAGATGTGTATGGCCTGGTGTTGTCCTGATGGAACACAATTCCTCTCCTATTAGCCAAAGCTGGCCGCTTCTGGGCGATTGCTTCCTTCAGACGGTCCAATTGTTGACAGTACAGTTCCGAGTTAAGAGTTTTGCCGTAGAGGAGCAGCTCATAGTAGATAATTCCCTGCCAATCCCACCAAACACACAGCAAAACCTTCCTGGCCGTCAATCCTGGCTTGGCCACCGTTTCCGCCGGCTCTCACCGCGATTCGACCACGACCGTTTTCGCTTGACGTTGTCGCAAGTGATCCACTTTTCATCACCAGTGACCAACCGCTTCAGAAATGGGTCGATTTTGTTGCGATTCAGCAGCGATTCGCAGATGGAAATTCGGTCCATGAGATTTCTTTTCGTTAACTCGTGTGGCACCCATACATCGAGCTTCTTTTTGTATCCAGCCTTATTCAAATGGTTCCAAACGGTTTTTGTGCAATCTTTAGCTCTTGGGCAATCGAAACAGTGCTTACATGACGGTCGGACTCGACAATATTCATGATTTTATCGATATTTTCGACAATTGGCCTTCCAGTCCGTGGTGCATCTTTGACATCGAAATTACCGGAACGGAATCGACGAAACCAAAATTGCGCGTGATTGGCTGTTACAGCATCAGGACCATAAACACTATTCACATTTTCAGCCGCCTGGCTTGCGTTTTCGCCTTTATCGAAGAAAAACTAAAATATAGCGTATTTTCTCTTTGCTAGTGTCCATCTTTGACGCGCGCTCAAACAAAACTGAGTCAACTAATTACAAAACTGTCAGAAAAGTTTTTTTAGTACGAAATCTCATCTTTCTAACGCCATCTAGTGGAACCCGATCGGACTTATACAACGCGAGATACAGATAACTAAAGCCATCTATTGGAAAAATAATGGATTTCTTTTTACTACACCTGATATTACCTCGTCGGTCATTTTTATAGGCCACTTTTATAGGCATGAAATGTATGAAAATCTAAACCAAACGCTGTTTGTGAACTTTTAGAATTGCATTGGATAGTACTCGTCGAGACAAAGAAAATGACACCTCATCCGACTTTCTACAACCACCAAGTATTCGAAACTCAGTGCTCCATGTTCGGGAAAAAGAAAATTTTTTCAGGCATATAGTAACGATATATTTCAGGCATTATAGTAACGATATATTTATACGATATTTTTATATGGCTAGTAATCTGTATCGCGATGGTAATCAAGGTATTGTATAGGGTAAATGTTCGTATTATCTTCAGCATAGGTATTATCAATATTCGGTATTATTATCGCTTTTTAATTAACTCCAGGCCCCTCGGGCCTCCTTGGCCAATATGAAAATTTATCCAGGGCTATTAGTCTTTATATTACCACGTCGGTTACTTCGGGTAATCTTGATTTGAGTTTCAACTACATATGATCAGAGAGAAACCTGAGAGCGGCCAACACGGCATTTTCTGCGACACCGACTTTCCGCACTGGGAAAGGACGCCATCTGCATCCATTTTGAGAGGGGAACTACGATGCTACATCCACTTTCAGGTCCCGGTGGTAAAATCTGCATGTGGTGGAAGTCTGTGCTACATCCACTTTCAGGAGGTTTATGTCCGTGCTGCAACCACAGTTGCCATCTCTATGCCAGTCTATGTCCGGTGGTTTAAAAAGCGCGGGGGGGAGGGAGTGGAGGAGCAGGAAAAATAAAAGTACGTATTAAATATTAAGTCTCCGAATACATGTTGCCGTATCAAAGTCTCCTGTATAATAAACGATTTGACACGTCTGGAGACGCATGATGTATCGTTGCCCACGTCCCGTTCCCTTCGTCCTGCTTCTCAATTCAGCATCCCGTTCGCTCCGGACATTCGCTCGTGGCGCACTGACAGTGGCCGTCGGTGAGCATTCGGCCCGCTCGGAGCAGCACGTGTTAATTAACGCGACGAGACTCCGATTACAAATATCCCGCGAGTCGACGAAATATCTGAACTTTTAAAAAGAGCATCAAAGAAAATCACGTTGATGTTGTCATGGGCGAAATCTCACCCTGGTATATATATTTTATTTTCGAAATAAAAAAAG